GTGAGGGGGACACACACATCATCTCATCGACAGCATCTCATCGACAGAGCATCTTTACTTGCCTGCACGTTCTGCGCCTGAGGCTGGACTGCTTTGTTGCCCTTCTGGCCTCTCTTTCCTCTGCTGTCTGGCTGTTCCTGTCTGGATGTTCTGTGCTGTTGGCTGGCGACGTGTCTTGCTTTCTTTTTCAAGAACGAGCAGTGGCCGATTTTTCATCTGAGCGCTGGCCACGTTAGACGTACGGACGCATTGATTGGACACACCATCTGCCCTCAGGGGCCGGGGCCTAGGTGCCCGTTAACAAACGAACGAACGAACGAACGAACGCATGCATTTCGCGCCGCCAAAGCTCGCGAGGCGTCCTCCCTGAAAAATCCCTCGACATGGCTGGACGTTTGAAGGTCGCGTGGGTGGACGGGGATGTCGTTACATCGTCGCGTCAGTACGAGGTTCTACTGCTGCTGTCCAAGAAGCCTGCGGCGTGCGAGAAGGGAGCGGTTGCTCGGTGGGACTATCGGGCGGCACTGGGACAAGGAGTCGAGTGGCCTCGGAGGTGTTACCGGAGGTTCGACGAGGTGCCTGACAGCGCCAGACTGACGCTCAAATATCCCGTTGGTAAAACAGGAAGGCTGGGACTCACTGGGGAGAGAAGCCGACAGGCGGGGCGATTGAAGGGGTGAGTGAGTCAACTCTCCTGAATACAAGTGACTTTCCATCACTCAGGTATCATCAGAGGACAGCTCAAGGAGCAGGACGACCCAGTGAGGACGTCTGTCATGTACAGTGCTGCAATCTCTCTCTGCATCTTCGGCGTCGTAGCTGGTGTTTCGGGAGTCGGACTTGCTCTTGACGGAGTCAGCGCTGCGGTGCAAAAGTTCCGCAGGCCACAGCCGCCGCAGACACAGGTAAATGAGTTGATGAATGGGTGCCAATGGGTGGTCTCACGATGACCTGATTGATCTCCTGCGCGTGTTTGTATGCTTTTCCAGGCTGTCTGATACAAGACGCATCGCTGTAGACGTCAACCTCAGGGGACATTCGTGTGCTTTTCTGATACGTGCGAACGGCTTTCTCTACGTGTGCTACTTGTGCGTTTGCTGGACTGTTTGACGATTGCACCCTAATAGTGTCGACTGTTTTCCATCTTCGCTGTGTGTGTGTGTGTGTGTGTGTGTGTGGGCGTGTTTGCTTGTTTGCATACGATGGAAGCGCATGTACGAATGCTGATCCATCGCGCACAGGCGCAGGCACATATACCCACACCGCCACACACTGACACTCACGTGTGCGTGTGTTTATGCCTTCAGTGGTGTACATATCTGTGCATGAGGTCAATTATTGAACAATTCTGTCGGTTACGATGAATCATGTGCTGGATGTCTGGTATGAGCTCGGCATCACCTGCAGGCGTCCATCCACCCATCCTCAGATTAATGCATTGTGTGGGTAGAGTGTGCTGTGCGCCATCTCTGTCTGTGCATGTGTGAGAGTCTGCGTACAATCGGTGAGCTTCTTGAGCCAAGCTTCGCTCGTCCCCGTTCTTTTTGGGGCCGAGTGGATCGCGGGCAGAAGAAAGGAGCACCGGAGCGCATAGTGTATTCGTCGCGCGTCTGCAATTGTCCCTTGATCTGGTGCTGAGCCGTACAAACATCATGCCAGGGAGAGAGGTAAGCTGCTGGCAAAGATGTCCACGGATGTCCTGCCTGTGAGATTGGGATGTTTGGCTGCGTCAGGGTGGCAAGGCGAAGCCGCTCAAGCAGCCCAAAGCCAAAGAGCAGCAGCTGGACGATGCCGACGTTGAGGTGAGGAGAGAGGGAGAGGATGGGGAAACACACACGATGGGATCTGATCTGTGCATCTGTGTGTGGTGCTGGTTGCTGGTTGGTGGCTCAGTTCAAGAAGAAACAGGCGGAGGACAAGAAGTAAGGCGTCAGCAGCACCATCGTCACCACGTCACGTCATTCCGTGTGTCACGCCGCTTGGTGTGTGGTTGTGCTGTCATGTCAGAGCCATGCAGGCGGCAGCCAAGGCCATGGCGGGCAAGAAGAAGTAGCCACCTAGCTAACGAGCCTGCCCGCCGTCATGGACGGCAGGCTCGACGAGGCTCTTCCTTTTGTTGAGCTGACTGCGCGTCGGGTTTGGCTCTTGTCTGTCTGTCTGTCAGTTTGTTGAGTGGCTTTATTTTGGCATGATTGGCATGGCTTGGCTGGGCGACTGTGTGGGAGGGGATCGCTGGCTGGCCGGATGCTGCGTGTGTGGGGGTTTGTAGAGGACCGGCTTGCGTGTTGTGTGTGTGCTGGCACGCTATTTGTATGTCGACTCCATCCATGGGATGCACTCATGGGCTGACACTCAAATCTGTGGATGGGATTCCGTATGATTACATACACATCGATCAGCTGCACACGTCACTTGGACCACGCACGCAATGGATGCAACACATGGACATGCTAGCTGAATGGCCGGATGGACACCGACTGCACATGCGTACACAAATATGATGGTTTCTCCACGCGCACATGAATGGACCCATTGTCTGTGTGCCCAGGATGCAGCCAGCCCATCACCTACACAGGCGCTGTCTGTGTTCAGCCTTCAGCCCCGATCGTCGTTTCCTCTTCGTCAGTGTATGTGTGCCAACATGAATCGTTCACTGAGGCACAGTTTTTGCCCGATAGTGTTTCGAGCTGTCTGTCTGTCTGTCTGTCTGTCTGTACACATGGGTTGAATGACACACAACGAATGCAATGCAATGCAATGCATCAGTAAGTCAGTCATGTCACCAACCAGCCAAACACCACACAACATACACACAACATAACTTGGATCGCAGCAAGTGATCGAAGATATCTACACGCCACGCCCTCTACACATCCTTCCTGCAGCAGGCGGGCTGCGATAGGTGCTGGTCGACACAGAGCAGAGAAACGAACAACACAGCTGTGAGCAGCAAGGGGGGCTGGTGCTTGGCATGTCGTTCTATGTACCTGTAGTACTAAGTAGATGGGCGGATTCAGGTCGCCGCTGCTGTGCCCCCCATCCATCTCATCAGCAGCTCTGTCAGACAAGGAGACAGACAGACATAAGAGACAGGCAGACACAGACATGTGTGTACTCATGAATGCCCCCATCCATCCATTCATCCATCCCCCTCTCCACTGTCTGCTCACTGGTCGGCCTCCACGTGTTGCTGTTGCTGTTCGTCGTCGTCGATCATATCGTCGTCGTCCTCTCCCTGGTCGCCGTTCATGCCGTCGTCGTCCATGAATCCCTGAACACGCACATCATGAGTGGGCATGGCCTCCACGTATGTGTGTGTCTGTGTGGTTCTTCCCGCCCACCTCGTCTATACCGTCGCCCGCGCCGTCCTCCAGGCCGTCCTCATCCATACCGTCCTGCACACACACACACACACAACATTGAATCATCACATGCATGTGACTGTCTGCCCCTCCCTGCTGACCTCATCGATGTCATTCTCCTCGTCTAGGTCGTAGTCCCCCAACCCATCATCATCATCCGATGACTCCTCACCCCACAGCGCACCGGGCGGCCCCCTCTGGTCCATCCCCTCCCACGCATCTATCACCTCCACCACACACTGACCTCCCCCCGCCCCTCGCACCACCACACGGCTATCGAAGGCACACTCGAATGGCTTGCTCCTGCCGAATCCACTGTCGATGTCAGGCAGCTCATAGCGCTGCGCCTCCTCACACCGAATCAGGTGGATCACGTCACGGAGGCCATACACGATGCCCTCGTCTACCTGCCCGCCCTCTCCCCCTCCCTGGCTGTCTGATGTGTCGGTGTGTGTGATGTGTGGCGTGACGAAGGCAGTGTGGCGAAAGAGACGGCGCCGCACAGAGGGGCTGGCCACATTGCAGACACGCGAGACGAAAAACCGCAGTGCCGCATTGAGCCGCCGCCCGAGTGGCGTGCGGGCTGAGAAGGGCAGTGGAGCGAGGGGGTCTAGATAGGCGGCAATCTCACTGCACAACACACCCACACGGAACACAGAGTGGGAAGGCGATAAGGCAGAGAGAGTGCGCAGGGGGGCGAGGGACGTGTTGATGAAGTGCATGGCGTGTGTGGGGACAGACCGACTCAGATAGTCGTGATACACCGACAAAATGCGGCGCTTCTGTCTGGCTGTCGTGCGAAAGTGTGTGAGTGCTCTGTCTACCGATGCCCCCAAGTGGTTCAGATGCTCGGCAGCAGTGTAGTGGCCCTCACGCACAAACTCCACAAGGGGTGGCCAGAATCTGGCGCCAGTCATTGCGGCACCATCGTCATCAACGTCAGCCCCTGCTTCCCTCACCAGAAATGACATGACCTCCGTGTCCTCATGAGCAAGGATGAGTGTGCTATGCACAGCCTTCACTCTCTGCCTCACTAGCCAATACACGACAGCCCTGTTCTGGCTCTCTACAGCGCGACTGAGGGCATAGCTGCCCCTTTCCCCCTCGCCCCATCCCTCCAGCACCTCCCACCCCGTCCCTTCCACGATTTTCTCGAGAATGGCAATATGAGGCTCGGTGTGGCCATCGTGCGCCGCATCCCCCGGCTGCTCATCCGCTTGCTGGTCCTCCGCTTGCTGGTCCTCCTCCCCTCGAAATTGGCACTGACATGCCTCGTTGAGAGCCGTTTCTCCGTAGAGACCGGGTGGTCTGGGTGCCGCTGCTGCGGCAGTGGTCAGCCGAGTGACCACCTCCAGACACTGTGTGGCCGAGATGTCCTTCATGGCCGAACTGGTGAAGACCGACGACAGCGCACCACCAGGATAGTAGCACCTGGCGCCGTGCCTGAGGAGGGTCTCGATCATGGGCAGAAGGGCCGACAGCTGAGCGGAGTCTGCATGACGGAGGCGGTCTAGCAGGGAGTCCAGGGGTTTCTTGCTGCAGGGAAGGGCCCATGGAGCGCCCTCTGGGCTGTAGCTGGTGTAGTTCACGGAGGCTCCCGCGTCGATGAGGCTCGTGAGAATGGCGGCACCATCCTCTCCGACACATTTCTCGGCGGCCAGATGCAGCAGGGAAGCCCGACAGTCACAGCGCCCGTCGTGGTATTGCCCATTGGGGTCGGCCTTCTGCTGCGTCAGCAGCTGGGCCGCTGCGTCAGGTGAGAGGGAACCATAGTGGAGGCCGAATGCCAACTGTTTGGTGGGCGAGAGGGCAAAGGCTGGCACTCCACCGGGCGAGAGGCTCACGGCGAATGGCTCGCCGGGCTGCTGCTGTGGCTCAAAATAGGACATCGCCACATCTCACTGGCCGATCACGTGGAAGCGAGGCTGCCGCAAACACACAGCACAATGACAAAAGCGGCACGAGAGAAGGGGAATCACATGTGATCATCTGCCTGGACTGCCTCCTCACCTTCATGGCCAAGTTCATGGCATGCGCATCACAGGCTCTTCGACGGCGCTGCAACGCTAGGATGGCCTCGTGTCATGCTCCTTGCACCCACGATATCCTCCGAAACGCCGCATTCGCAGGATCGACATTTGCGCGCTTGAATGAGGCGAGAGTGGAAAGAAGAGATCTTGGCCTCCCCCATGGCTTCGAAGATCTTGAATCAAAATGTTGAATGAGTAACAAACGAGGATGAACCGAAGATGAACCACGCCGAATCGACCGAGTGGAGGGAGTCCTCCCGTCTGACAGTCGGCAGATGCACCTGCCAGTTCGTCGCCTACCATCGCTTTCTCGGCCGCATCCTCCTTACCACCCTGCAGCTGACGGCAGCGGCACTTATTGTCGGCATCTTCCTCACTGTGGTCATCATTGCCTTTGCGAGTGGCGCCATCCCTTTGATTTCACAGCCGCCGACCGAGCTGCTGCTCTACAACTGTGCCGTGCTTTGTCTGGAGGTCAACTTGGCGCCGCAGCACGCGGAAGCGTACGGGAGGAGGTCACTCATCTGGCATGCAGTCGGGGCTATCGGGGTCAACTGGGGAATGCAGATCGCTCTCTACAGTGTCGTTCCGTGTGTGCCGGGGGGATCAGTCAAGTCGTGCTCGTTCCCCTTCACCAACTGGATTGCCGTCCTTTCCCAGCTGGCGGGCTCGGTGGTGTTTTGGATGACCATTGTGCGGGAGCCCAAGAGCTGGGGCGGTCGGCTTGTCAAGGCGATTGTATCAGGGGTCTTGGTCCAGGTGTTTATCTACACGCTGATGTCCGTGAATGTGGGCGTGCTGCTGCTGGCGAGGGAGAGCAACACGCTGCTGGCCGAGGTAATCATTACGGGCGGATATCCCCTGCTCAAAATGGTGATCCGTGAGCTGCTGCTCGTGCTGGCCATCCGTGCTTGGAGTAAGTCGGCGCGTCGATGAGGGGCATGTAGATCCGTTCACTGACGTGTTTGTTTGTATGTGCGTGTTGTCAGCCAAGGAGGGTCGTGCGAGCCATGAGGTCGAGCAGCAGCTGCTGCCGAATAATGTCCGCAGTAGCGAAGCTGCCCTCGGAAGTAGGCTTGAACACATGTGGATACACGCGCGGCGAGAGAGCACTGCATTTTCCGATGCATTGTGTGCTCTTGTACAGTCCCTGGCAAGTTCCTCATCTACCTTGCGTCGAGTCGCCAGGTACACGCAAAGCGAAGCCTTTCAGCTGCGTCGCAGGCGTGCCATATCTCTCCCTTTCTGTGCCCGCCCCTCACGATGGGTGGATGCATCAGGTGTTGCTGATAGCCGTGTTCCTCCAGGCGTTGGCCGAGTTTGGTGCCAGAGCGGTCTTGGCACTCTGGGGCCGCGTCTACTACAGTGCGCAAGGCAAGAAAATGAAGACGGCCGTCGCCGAGACGGCCACACAAATCAAGGCCAGAGGTCAGAATGAAAACATAGCCAAAGGGGTCCCTGTACACAGGTGCATGTCTGTGTGGTTCAGTGAGCGTCCTGGTGCCCCGTCTGAGCACGAGTTCTCTGTCGCTGTCGTTGTCGACCTCTGATGACACCATGCTACACCGCAGCAGCCCGCCGCCCCCCACACTCCCTGCGCGTCCGTCGTCAGGCCATGTGGAGCACCTTTCCCCCTCCCCTCATCCCTCTCTGTACATCCTGCCGTCACAAAACGACGCAGACAACGATCAAGACGCATCGGCTGCCCAGGAGCCATCAGAGAATGGCGATGAAGGTGCCCTGGTGGTTGTGCGCTCTGCACCCCCATCAGTCAGCCGCTCGCCGCCTCAGGGCTTGTCGCCCCTTTGGCCAGCCCCCCTTGCGCATCAACCGTCAATGGCTCGCTCCATATCGACGGAGAGGATGCTCGAGAGGTGGCGGTCGAGGTCAATGTCGCTTGACAGTGTTACATTACGGGCATCATCGCGTGTCAGCCGGGTAGACAGTCGGGCTGGGACACAGGGGATCCCTGTGGTGGATGGGCCGTGGCTTGAGATGGATGGATCCGCAAAGTCGCGTCGGCCATCAAGCCGCAGGAGCGGGGCAAGTGCGGCAGAGGACAGCGGTGGGCTAGGTGACCCTTCACAACGACCCGAGGTCTCTTCCGATGAGAAGAGGGCAGATGATGCGTCACAAGCAAGGGGGGAGGAGGAGGAGGATGGCGTGTCGGCACGCGACGGGGAAAAGCTGGCGGTCTCAGTCCAGGAGAGAGCCACGTCGCCAGAGGGACAGACCGCAATCATGGGCTTGGAGAACCACAACAGCGGGGTGGCGAGGAGTCGGACATTCGTGCTGCTGCAGTCCGACAGGGGTGCGTTCATTCACCGGAGGGAGATCACGGCAGCCAATCTTATCCTCGCTGACCTGCTCATCAACGTGATCGCCATTGTGGCGCTTTCATACAGTCGTAAGTGCAGGGGAGAGGCCAGGGGGTCAGACAGACAGACAGACAGACAGGCAGGCAGAGAGTGCACCGCTTTGGTCTCTTTGCGTCACGTCACGTCAATGAAGAGGCAGAGAATACCCAGCGAGTGCAAGACAGACCATAGCTGAAGGGGACTCAGAGAGGCCGGGAGCGGCAACCGATTAAATGGGTTGCTGATCCCACTGGGAACCCTCAGCAACAGACATCCATCGTACTCTGTTGTCGTGGTGTGTGGATGTGTGCAGTTGTTCTCGGCTCGTTGGTGACGCTCACAAGCGGCTCACCAGCAGACAGCTCGACGGAGGACGTGTCAATGACATCGCCGCAGGAAGATGCCGATCGCAAGTGGGGGGTCATAAGTGGCGGGGAGCTGGCTGTCCGCGCGACCATCATCCTGTGTGTCGAGTATGTGACGGATATCGTTGCATTTGTTGCGGAGGACTGGGCGTATGGGATTGAGGCGTGGAGGAAACGCATTCAGCTGTCGTTTTCTGAGCACGTGACCTTCGGCTTCACCTCTCTGGCGGCGTGTGCATATCTGGCTCTCGCTCTGGTGGTGGAGACGTGATCATGAAGGCCATACAGACAGACAGACAGGCCGTGTAGTATACTGCAAGGGGTACCCGGGTCGTGGCGTGTGTGGGGCTTTTGTAGTGAATGAATGGTGGAGGGTGCAGTGGATACAGACACGATTTATAGACACTCATGGACGTCATTTGTCTGATCGGTATGTCGGCTTGTCGGTACCTCAAGCAGTAGATATTCTCATCTCATCTCATGCCATGCACGAGCAATGAAGGACCGAACTGTCTGCATGGTGTCATCCCTGTTGCTGCGTGTGTCGTGTGTGTCGTCCGATGGAATCAAAATCACTGCACCTTGACGGTCTGGTGGCACGTGACGCACGAGACACCATCCTCGCCGCCCGTACCGCCGTCAGCCTGACGCACCACACACAGACACGGCCGCCAATCCATCCATCCGTCCATCCGACCATGGTCACATACGTTTCGTCTGGTGAGGCTGTTGAGTTGGGTGCCGAAGATGGATGTCCTCTTGGCCTTCAGGTCGTCGCCGTTGCCCTCACCGGGTGTGCTGGCTGCGTGTGGCGTGGCGTCCTGGGTGGGAGTGCTGTCCGAGTGCGGCAGATCCTCACGATAGATGGGCTCCTTCTCACACTCGACGTGCTGAAGCCACACATTCGCAGGCACACACCATGTGTGTCTCTCCTCATGCGTGAGTGTCTCCCCCGCTCACCTCGACGCTCTCGAGGACGCTGCCGTGTTTGGAGTCGAGGTAGTAGAGCCACACACAGAAAAAAGCCGCCAGACACGACAGGGCGATGAACATGTGCTCCACCACCACATAGCGACCTGCACACCACCCAGATAGAGGTCAACTGGGCCGCCTGCTCCCATGTCTGTCTGCCTGCATGTGCAAACCCACCCCCACCTGTTTTGGCTCTGAGGTAGGCGACTTGGAGCGGCACTAGGAAGAGCCCCGCGTTCTGCAATGCAGTGGCGAAGCCGTACGCCGTGCCTGCATGGTGCTCGTCGACAGCAAGACCCAAACAGGGCCAGATGACCTGGAAATAATGACACAGGCATTAAGTCGATTGTTGAGCATGTCTGGCTGTCGGCTGACGGTGGCAAAGACAGTGTATCCGAGGCCCAGCAGTATCATCGGGATCTGACCAGAAAGAGAGATGAGACACGGTCGACATTATCCTAGCACTCGTGTGTGTCTCACACCTCAGGTGTGACGTGCAGCAGCAGGTAGTGGGCCAGGCCGACCAGCAGAGACGACCAAAAGCAGAAACCGACACGCTTCCCCACCTAATGACACAACACACCCGTCGACGGACAATTCACCAGTGCATGTCTGTGTGTTTTGTCCTCGCCGTCCATTCATTGGCACCTTGTCGGATACGATCCCGAAGATCGGTGACGCCACTGCCGAGAAGGCGAAGATGATGCTCATCACCTGACCCGCATGCTCACGAGCCTGATACCACAACAAGGCACACCGAAGATCCCGCCTTCCCCGTGTGTTTCGTCGTGTTGTGTTGTGTGTGATGGTCATCTACCTGTGCGGGTGGCTGGTCGTAGTACCATTCCTCGACGAGGAAGGCCGAGGCGATGTTGTTGAACGGCAGGATGGCGCAGTACAGGACCAGACACACCATCGACGCGACCCAATACACCGGGCCGAACCGCATCGCCTCCATGAACGACATGCGGTGAGAATGGGAACTCTGGTTGACCGGATGAGCGGATACGGAACGCGGATGAACTCATGCAATTGTCACATCCCTCCTCTCTCACCGTCGTTGTTGTGCTGGCGACTGTCGTCTCGGTGGCGCCATGAGTGCTCACGCTGGCGGCGATCTCTGCGTTGTGTCTGTCAGTGTCCCGCTCGACTCTGGCGTCTATGATGACGAGCCCCACGGAGCCGAGCATGCACAGGATGAGCAGCACCTCGCTGAAGAGGAGGGCCGACGTCACACCCAGCCGTGTGGCGATGACCGGCGAGATGAGGTCATTGAGCACACTCCCGCCCCGCGCCACACACAGATTCATCCCCAGCGCCATGGCCATCTGGTGCAGAAGAGAAGAGCATCTGCATGATATTTCATTTGTGTGTCGGATGACTGACCTCTCGCTCCTTGAAGTACTGCATGAGCAGGACGGTGGCGGCCACGTTGAGGCTCTCGCCGCCCAGCCCGAAGCACACTCGGCCAGTGAGCATCAGGGGCATGTTCACAACGTAACACCCCAGACACACCACCGCCTGCAAAGCAGCCCAAACAACGCCACACACGACGCCACCACACACATCCATCCATCCATCCAACACACACATGGAGAATGGCGGCCAGGTGACCATTCTGACCTGTCCGACGACCAGGAATGCGTTGAGGATGACGAGAGCGGCCCTGACGCCCATGATGTCGATGAAGTATCCGAAGAGCAGCGGCAGGAAGATGTTGGGCAGCGCATAGACCGAGTAGAGGAGATTGAAGTAGAACTCGAACTCAGACACTGACAGCTGAGGGCTGAAGTGGTCCAGCAGCGACTCGTTCAAAGCCGCAGGGTTGTCGAAGCTGCACACACACAGCACAGCCAGAGATGAACGAGAGATGCCAACAGATCATGGTGGATGCATCCGTGCCTGTAGTAGCATCCAATCATGATGAGGCAGGCGAGAGCAAGGACGCCCCAGCGGGTGCCGTCGTCGCCCTTGGTGCGATGACCAGCATGGAGACCAGCCATCCTCAGTTGCAATGCTCAGACAGACGCCGGCTGATCGGAGTTGATGATTCTGGCCGAAACGCCGGAAAACAACATGCGAGCTAGATGCACGGAGTCAAGGGTGTGTTGTCGTTGGAACGCGGATCTTTGCTTCCCTTGCTTCTGACCCTCGCTCAGTCTACGCTGCGCACAACGCCACCCTTCACCTTTAATCAGCCGCAGCGGCCCTTCTCTTCTCTGCTGTGGTCTTTCGTCAGACAGAGGGCCAGGCGCATGATGCCATCAGCGCAGGACGGAGCATTCTGGGAGGTGGGGTGACTGAGTTATTGATTCATTGATTAATCGTTTGTCACGCGTGACGATCTGTCTGCCTGTCTGTCTGTCTGCCTTGCAGAGTAACTGGCAGGAAGGGGTGGCGCCGGGTGACGAATGGGACACTTCAAAGCCAAGTCCGCGAAACAGAGAGAGAGGCTGGCTTTATGCAAAGGCCATACCTGTGTGCAGCAGACTCTCTGTTGTGTGTGTGTCATTGCTGTGCGTGTCAGCTCCCGTGTTGGTCAAGTATGTGGCTGATGGTGTGATTCCCAAGGGCAAGGCACTCGTGCCGGGATGCGGTCAGCATACTCGCACACACAAGCAAAGGCTGAGGAGTTTCAGCTGAGGCTGCTGCCATCGATTGATTCATTCATTCATTCAGGTCGTGGGTATGACGTGGGTGCGCTGTCTGACCTGTCACGAGAGGTGATTGGCCTCGACATATCTGAAACGGGCGCAAACGTCGCAAGAGGTGAGGAACAAAGTGAGTGAGTGAGTGAGTGAGTGGATCAGCAGCGGCAGCAGCATCTGTGTCCTGTCTGCCTGTCTTTGCCTTGCCTTGCCCTGCCCCGTTGTGTCAGATTATCTGAAAGGGCTTGATTTGCCCGGCAAGTGGAGCATCGAAACGGCGGACTTCTTCACTTACGACCGCCCCTCTTCGTTTGACTTCATATTTGACTACACCTTCCTTTGCGCCATACAGCCAGACATGAGAGTGAGAAACGTAGCTTGCAACAAGGACGGCTGCCTATTGCTGATTGTTTGTTGTCCGTTGTGTGTCGACAGGCTGCGTGGGCGAAGCAGATGCACTCGCTGCTCAAGGACAACGGGCTGCTGATGGTCGCCATCTTTCCCATCTGCGACAAGGAGGTAGGCAATGCTATTTTAAGTCAGACTCCCCATTTGTGTGCTGTGCGTTGCGTGCGTCAGGGCGGCCCGCCGTTTGCGTTGAGCCTCGAAGGTGTGAGGCGTGTGTGAGGGTGTCGGTGGTCTGCACTGCGAGAAGCTGGAGATGCTGCCGCCCGAGCTGTGCCACGCGGGCAGAGATGGCGTGAGTAATGGGCCGCTGAAGTTGGCTGCAACGGGCGTATCTCTCTGGTGCAAGAAGATGTCTGAGAGTGGTCGGGGTAGCTAGCTGAGCTGATGGGGCGCGTGTCAAACGCGGGGTACTTTTATGTGGTTGGTGACGACTCATTCATATCACTCGACTTGAGGCGTGAATCGATTCATTCACGTAACCATTTTTATATCACGGTCTGTGCACTGGACTGCACAAACAGGACGGCTATGGGCCCCATTGATTCCATCCCCTTCCCCTCCCCATCCCTCACGCCAATTTGTACACCTCCAACTCAGAGAGGTTGAAGTGCCATCCCTGCACTGAGACAGGCAGAAACGCTCTATCATCCCCCCAGCCGTGGTCGCTCGGCCTGACGCTCGGCCGCTCCCACTGCCGCCACTCGTTGGGCTGATCCAGCATGTGCCCCTGAGACCGCTTCATGGTCTCGTCGCTGGCTGCTGCTGGGGCACCGATCTGGTCCACGGCCGGACGGATGCCGAAATTGAAGCACGCGATGGTGAGGACGGCCGTCGCCTGGGAGTCGGGCGATGAGAAATCGATGAGCTCGGGGACTCTCTCCTGCACACATGAATGGAGAGGAGACCATCACCATGACCGCCTGCCTGAATGGCTCATTCGAATGAGTACCCACCTGTGTGCCCGCGATGTACAAGTTGGGCCGCCAGCCCATATAGCCCACGTGTGGGTGGCTGTCCGTCCCCTGCAGCTTGAAGGTGTGCGATTTGATGTCGTGCTTGGTCTCGGCCGCCCCCGTGACCTCGATGCGACCATCGATGAGGATGGCGAAGAGCTCATTGCTGTCGGCCACCTTGGAGATGAGCAGCAGGGGGGAGTGGCCCTTGACGGCATCGAGGAGATCCAGCCACTTCCACCCATCCACCGACGCCCTGACACGACACACATGACACACACACACACACACACAGACAGACAGACAGACACATGAGTGAGTGAGAATGTCTTCCGCCTTGCTGCTCCCTCCCTCCCTCACTTGTAAATGCGCATGACCGGTTCCCTGACACACTCGGGGATGCTGCTGGGCGCGACTGGCCGACGCTCGACCCACTCGCGCATCTTCTGCAGGTGCTCCGTGGTGAGCAGGGCATTAGCCGGACCCAAATAGCGATCGCTATCCAAACCATACCTAACACACATACAGACACAGTCAGCCATCAGGGTACTGGCAATGCATTACCAGTGTCCACTTACATGGTGAGTGCGTGTCGGTATCCCTTGATGGCCATCTCCCCCACCGCCCTCTGCACATCGCCCGCCTTGACTGCCGCCGCCTTCATGTGGGCGCGCGCCACCACGTCCACTATGCGCCGCACGTACGCTGGATCTACCTCATGGCTACTGCGGTCATACCTGACACACACGCAGGCAGGATGGCATCCGATGGAGATGTCTGCGTGTGTGTGCAGTGACGGCAGCTGCTCACTTGAGGAATCGGTTTGCGAAGGTCGAGTCCTCGCCGAGCGATGTCGCCACACCCTTCGTTACTGTCACGACGGCGCCAGACACCTCAATCGACACCAACTGGCAACATGGAAATGACACACAGAGCGCGTCGTCGAGTTGGCCTTCCCCTGCCAAGCTGTGTTCACCTCACCGCATCGTCCTCTACGTTGCCAGTCTTGAGCAGCGGCCTGATGGCCTCGAGGCGCTCCATCTGGGCATCCCTGTCAGCCTTGGCCCTCCTGATCATACTGGTCAGCTCCACAGAGAGGTCCTCAGCATCTCTCTTCTGCTGCTGCTGCTGCTCGCCGCCCGTCCCCTGCTGCTGCTCCTCCTGCTGGTCTTGTGTGAGTGGGGGGATCTGCACACGGCTCGCACGCCGCTTGCACTTGGCCGCTGGGTCGGACATTAACAACTCTACCCAATACCTAAATGAGACCAACCACACCAGACCACATCATGCTATCAACGGCAACACAGACAGGCAGCCTGCCGTCTGTCAATGGTGTGGCTGACTTGAATGGCGTATCGTTCTGTCTCGAAGGCGGTATGACGATGCTATCGATGGTCTGCTCGCCGACGTATGTGATGAGCTGCCCTACCAACCTGAAAAACAATGCGCACGCACACACACACCTGAGATCCACCCACGGCCACAGTCATGCTGCTATGTCTGCCTACCACGTGAAAGCATCGGGGAACGACTGGAGAAAAATGCGCTTGTCATTGTCACGAATGAAGGCGTTGTCGAAGCGGCCCGAGAACAGGAGTGCCATAACGGTGCCCTTGACGGCGCACAGAGTGGACCGCCGGGCTTTCACGATCTCCCCGGCCACATTGAACGACAAGATGTCACGCATGAGCTCGGCCTGACGCACACGCACAGCAACGCACACAGCCGCATTCATGGATTCCCTGCCTCTCATCCCATCTGATCTCCTCTTACGCATGGCTCGCTTGTGTCCGCCGTCCCGCCCATGGCCCGCTCTCGCTGCGTAAGGCCATTTTTGATCTCCTGCAGCGCACTAGCGATGGAAAGGGACTGCTCGATGGCCTCATCCAGATGGCCGCACTGATCCTCATCGCCATCACCGCCGTTCGGCCGCTTCCGCTTCTCGGCTGCCCCGCTGGCAGCCGCTGCGGCAGCCATGGCGCCGAAGCGGTGTGTTCTTCACACTGGAGCGGATCGCCACTTACGAGCTCGCAATGCTGGTGATGGTGCGCCGCAATGCTGGTGATGGTGCGCACATAACCAACCAACCACCATGACGACGGTAAGCATTCGCATGCGATGGGAAGGAAAGGAACGCACGGATCTGGCAAGCCTGCATGCATTCATGTGCCCTTGCCTGTCGGTGCATGGTGTGTCAGGTTGGAAGACATAGCGGCGAGGTGTGTCACTGCCACACACGCAAGTCAGGAAGCTTTGCCATGGTGACCCATCCCGCCGTGGACGGACTGTGAGGTGCACCAGCAGCGGCCGGTGAGATCTGGCGATGTCTGACTCTGAGCCACAGCAGCAGCCCGGCGAGCCCTTCGCGGTAGCTCTGTCACGCGGCGGGCCACCAGCCTTTGCCCTCTCGGCCACCAAGGAGTTGGCCTTCGGGCTCCACTATGGCTCCCTCTCACCTGACGCAGCGGCCCAGCTGCTGACGCAAGAGAAGGCCGACCCCAACGGGCGGTACCGCAAGGGCGGCTGGCCGGGCGGCTGGCTGGAGCGTTGGCCTTCCCTGTTGCATCTGGCCGTTGAGAAGTGTGTCGGAGAGGATGGTGCCGCGACGCTGGAGTGCCTCATCGAGGCTGGAGCAGATGTGAACTTTGAGCCTCGCAGCATTATGCACGAGAGACCACTGGGCTCCTTGCTAGACCGCGTGCGTCGGGACGACCCCACTCAGCTGTGGGCCCTCCTGCCCATGGTTGAGACCCTCCTGAGGCACGGAGCGACGTGCGGCTATTATGGTGGTGGTGCGCTGTCGTCGCTCTTTGCCCATGGAAGAGGTCTCGGCGAAGGAGTGCCTGGAGATCGTCACTCGCCTGACCACTGCCGCAGCAGCGGCACCCACACCACCCAGCCTCTACGGAGACGGGGCTCTCGAGGAGGCATGTGCGTGCCGCTTCCGACAGGACGAGGACCAGCAATCGGATGAGCAGCAGCAGCAGCACCAGCAGTACCAGCAGCACCAGCAGCACCAGCAGCAGCAGCAGCACCAGCAGCAGCAGCAGGATGCGGCGCACGATGGCCAGACAGACCCCCACATCGCAATCCTCGAGAAGCTGGTCGAGGGGATGGGACGGGGGGTGGTAGAGGGGTACAGAGGCAGAGATGCGCTAAATGTTGCCGCAGAGGCGCGGAACAGGGCTGTGATGTATTGGCTGGTGAGGCAGCAGGGAGCGAGGGCCGATGTGTTTACCCTCCCTTGTGCTCACTGGGATGTCGATGTCATTTCACTTCTGGTGCGTGAGGCAGGAGCTCACGTAGACGGTGGTGGGTCGCTGCCACCCCTTGTCGAGTTTGTGAGGGGAGGCCACGACACTGCTGCACACCATCTGATTCACCTGGGGGCATCGGTAGACAGAGCACTCACACACTTTCGCACGACAGCCAGACAGAAGCGCCGCATTTTGTCGGTGTATCACGACTATCTCAATCGCTCTGTCCCCACACACGCCATGCGCTTCATCAACACGTCCCTCGCCCCTCTGCGCACTGTGTCTGCCCTGTCGGCTTCCCACTCTGTGTTCGGTGTGGGTGTGTTGTGCAGTCAGATTGCCTCGAAGATAGAGCCCCCCTCTCTGCCCTTCTCAGCCCGCACGCCACTCGGGCGGCGGCTCAACGCGGCACTGTCTTTCTTCGTCTCGCGTGTCTGCAATGTGGCCAGCCCGTCTGTGCGGCGCCGTCTGTTCCGCCACACTGCCTTCGTCACACCACACATCACACACACGGACACATCAGACAGCCAGGGAGAGGAAGAGGGCGGGCAGGTAGACGAGGGCATCGTGTATGGCCTCCGTGACGTGATCCACCTTATTCGGTGTGAGGAGGCGCTGCACTACAAGCTGCCTGACATCGACAGTGGATTCGGCAATGGCAAGCCATTCGAGTGTGTGTTTGATGGCCGTGTGGTGGTGGGCGGGGCGGGGGGAGGTCAGTGTGTGGTGAAGGTGATATCTGGGTGGGAGGGGATGGACCAGAGGGGGCCGCCCGGTGCGGTGTGGGGCGAGGAGTCATCTGATGATGATGGCTCGAGCGACGACGACCTAGATGAGGAGGATGACATCGATGAGGTCAGGGAAGAAGGGGCAGACAGTCACATGCATGTGATGATTCCTTGTTGTGTGTGTGTGTGCAGGACGGTATGGCTGAGGACGGCCTGGAGGGCGGCGGGGACGGCGACGATCTGGATGAGGTGGAAGGAGGCACACGCGCGCACACATGCCATGTCATCAATGTGTGTGGTCTGTGTGTGTGCAGGACGGCGTGGAGGATTGCATGGGCGGCGACTGGGGAGAAGAGGAGCATGATGGCGATATGATTGACGACGATGACGAGCAGCAACAACAACACACGGAGGACGACCAGTGAGTTGAGGGCGGAGGGGAGGGATGGGGGCACTCATGAGTACACACGTGGCTGTCTGTCTGTCTGTCTCACAGGAGTGTCGATGAGATGGATGAGGACAGCAGCAGCAATCAACTCACATAAAGTTAGGTACGCAAAGCGACTCGCAGACCACCGCCTCTCTCCTCTGCTGCTGCTCACGGCTGTGTTTGGTTGTCTGTGTGGTTCAGATCACACATTGTGGCCATCCACTGATTGCCCCTGACCGGCCAGTACTATCGTGGCCCCCTGGCTGCTGGTGGCTGCAGCAGGAGGGCGGCTCTTGTGTAGATGATGTCCATACCTTTGTGCTGGCTGGCTGGATGGATCCATGGTACACATTCGATGTGTCTGTGTCTGTGTGTCGATGTGTGAAACCGTCTGTGTGTGTGAGTGGAGTGGCGTCCGTTTCGATGCGTTTGTTCATGTGTGGTTCACTAAACCAGTGTGTACAGCTAAGAGCTTGGCGGCCAGAAGATCTCCTTCACCCACTCACTCGTCCATCCGCACTTATCCGTTTCAACCACACACGTGCACGTGACACTACAAAGCTATCGCTTGACTGACTGACTGTTCGTCTTCACGACGCAGAAACCAACAGACCGAGTGCACCGCACCCAAAAGGCAAACAGGGAGGCAGGCAGGCAGGCAATTGTATGTACTGCAGTGGTGTCGTGTGTGATGACAACAGCTGAGCGAATATGTCCGTACGCATCAAAGAGTGGCCATTTCGTAGTACGCACCAGCTCAGTTTCCTTGCTGACAGACAGACAGACAGACACCCGCCCGCACACGCACCTGTCTTTTCGACGAACGATGGCGTGGGCACAGCTCAGCTATCTGCACAATTTTGAGTGCAGCGTATGCACAGCACAGCACAGCACAGCACGTGGGCTCATTCGGCCGACTATCAGACTTTCTGCAGTCAGCTAGAGCTATCTATGGCTTCAGATCACTAGGCAAAACAAACAAAACGAGACGGAACAGAACAAACCCAAACAAAGCCAAGCAAAGCACCCGTCACAAAACAAAGCAGCGTGCTCGCTCTCTCCCTCTCTCTCTTCCTCTCTCTCTCGCTGTCGACCAGTCAGACCAAAACCACACATGGGGCAGACAGGGGAGAGTTCGACCGAATCTAAATGCAATCGATCCAGCCGAAGCAGGGACAGCCGAGAATCGAGTCGCAATTGTCGAAGCTGCCCGGCCGGGTCACTTCTTCAAAACACAACAGAGGAATCAGTCGAGGACTGAACGAGCTGGCCTCAGTGAACCCCTTGCCAACCAAGGAAACGCAAAATGCCTGTCAACCAAGAAGGGAGAAAAGTGTTCTCCCGCTTCGATTCCTTTCGTCTTACATCGGCAGCGTCTTCACCGCAATCAGTCCCAATGCCAAAGAAATTCTCATTTGCGCACCAAGACACGGGATTTCCTCCGCCTGGAAAACCGGTGTCTGCATACATTGGAGAGGAAGAGCAAAAGATGGAATGAATCAGTCCATCGGAGTTCAGACAGATTCGCGCGACGTACACGTCACTTCGGCTGCGGCGCACTCCTCGTCTCCGTCGCAGTTCCAAATCACACGCTCAGCACCCGCAGCTGCAGAACACACACACGCACAGAGACACGCACACAGAACAGGAGCAATGGCTTGAGCCCGTGCACACAGACGACGCCTGCCTAAGTGCCCACTGTAGTTGGTTCCGCTCGTCCGCGCCAGCGTAGGATGAACGAAACGTGCAGCTGCACACAGACACGCAGAGACACGGGCAGAGACTCTGCGTGGACGATGGTGGTGGCATTCGTGTGACCTCACCTCCAGCCGCTAGCGGCTGACAGTCCGGGTCCGCCCCGGCACATTCAGATTCGCCACGTTCCTCGGGCTCTGGGCCGAGGAGCTGGCAGTGTACGACGCCGGCGAGGGCCAACAGGACCAACAGACCAAACACGCGCATCATCACTGCTGGGGAGAGAGGAAGGGGTGCTGGTTTCGGTGCTCCGCTCGAGAGAAAGAAAGAGATTGAAAGAAAGCGTGAAAGAAAGATTCAAATCGCGGATTGGCTTAACGTGTATTGTAAACTTAACAAGAGGGGGAAAAAAAGGGGCCCTCGACGATGTCAAGACATGGCTGGATGCGCGAAAGATGATGACTAACCAGACAGACAGACAGGCAGACAGTTGTGTCAATGGATACTTCGGCAATCGAGCCATGTCAGCACACACACTCATGCCCATTCCCGTCCACCCGTCCACCAAGCCGCCATCATTTTGATCCGTGAACGCATGCATCTGCATCTGTCTTCATAAAGATGCCTCACTGGCACAGACACACACAGACTCTGCCTGCCGTTGCGCTATGAGTTAACGTATGTCAAACTGATAGCTGTCCTCACGGGACAAGGACGCACGTACAAACCGAGACACAGCACTTGTCCCAACCACCACAGGTCAGCCGTCCAGCGACCATCATGTCGCTGTTGCGTGAATGCATCACTCTTCCGTCTCATCTTCAGGCACAGGTCTCTCGGCGGGGTCGGGGTGGGCGGGGTCGGGGGGGCTCGCACCGAACGGCATCGCGCCAGGACTCTGAGGGCCACCATGGTGGGGACTGTGCGGGCCGCCTGAAGTTGACACCGACATCACGTCAACACACACACGTCTCCCAAGACGTGCTGCTGATGTCCGTCTGTCTGTCGTACCTTCTTCCGAGTATGCGGGCGATTCGGGGCTGCCTGCATCGGGCCTGATCTGGCCGCCTGACCGTGGCTGCTGAGCGCTTGGCGGCTCCTCAGAGGGGCTGGCCAGCTCATACGACTGGCTGGGCGACGACACGGCCGCCTTGGGGCTGGCGTCCTGCGGCTCCGACTGACGAGGGCTGTAGGCGGGGGATGACGGAGAGTACTTGGGCGACGTCGGCGAGTACGCAGCAGCACCTGGCGACACAGCAAACACCATCACACACACAGAGAAGTGACACCGGTAGACACATACACGGATGCTCGCTTCCCTTACGTGGTTGTGGTCCATAGTTGGGTGACTGAGGCGTGTATGCAGGCGAGCTGGGTGAGTACCCCGGCGACACCGGCCCTGCAGCACCCGCACCTCCCCTCCGCCCAGACTGGATGTACCCTGGCGACAGCGGCGGTCGGTAGCCGGGCGACAGCGGAGCATGGCCAGGCGACGTCGGACGATACCCTCCAGGCGACAGAGGCGCGTATGCGGGCGACGTGGGCCGGTACCCTCCCATGCGGTTGTATGCCGGGCTGGCGGGATTGTAGCCGGGAACGCCAGAGGGCGATGTGGGCGAGTACCCCGGGCTGAGCATGCGGCCTCCCACCTGGTAGCCCGGCGTCATCGCCCGCATGCCGTAGCCGGGTGTGGTCGCCTGCGCACCCATCGGCCGGGGGCTCATCGGCGCGCCATACGACGGCGACGTGGGTGAGTAGCTGGGCGAGAACGGCCGACGTGACATGGGTCCAGCACGACCAGCCGCCGCGGCAGCACCTGCAGGACGGTAGGCGGGGCTGAGTGGCGCGGGGCTGAAGGGCGCCTGGTAGATGGGCGAGAGCGGCCCGGCCCCTGCCCCCGGCCGGTATTGCGGCGACATTGGAGCCTGGAAGGCCGGGCTCATCGGGCCCTGGTCCATGAAACGCTCGCCTCCGCCCGGCTCGGGAGAGAAGAGGGCGTTGACGTCGCTGTACTGGCCCTTCTTGGTCTGGGGCAGCTCGTTCATGAAGGCGGCCTGCATGGGGCTGGTGAGGGTGTGTGGGAGGTCGGGTGACTGCGGCTGGGCGGGGGAGAAGAGGCCTGACATCGACTGGAGGGAGTGGAGGGCCGCTGCGGGAGCGCCGAGGTAGTTGTCGTGAAGGAAGTCGGCTGCGTCGGCCGCCAGAAGGTCCTGGCCCTCGGCAGTGCCTGTGCACGCCGCCACGCCGTCCTCGTCAATCATGATGTCGAACGCACCGGTGCCTGAACACACCACACACCACACAGCGATCCACATGTGTCTGAACGAAGTGTTGTGTCTGCCTTCCCCCGTACCGAATCTGCAGAGTTGTCCGAGCATGATGTTCTCGGTGATGCCCTTCATCTCGTCGGTCTCGGCGAACATGGCCGCATCGACGAGGATCTCGACGGTCTCCTCAAACGAGCACTTCATCATCGGCCCCCGATCGATGCGGTTGATGCCGTGCCGCGTGATGGACGTCAGCGTCCCTCGGGCCGTCATGATGTCGCACAGGACAGCTAAGTGTCGGTAGTTGACGTAGGAGCCGTCGAAGGATATCACACGGCGGACCTCATTCAACAGGGAGGCACGCACCGCCTCGATGCCCAACGTCTACACACACACGCACACACACACACACACACGCATACACACATTCACACAGAGAGGGAGAGACTCAGAGAGAGGTGGCAATCGTCCATCTGTGTATGGTCAATGGCGCACCTCTGCCACTTCAACGATGCTGTTGGAAATGGTTCGTGTGTGGTCGACGTCGTCGGCTGCAAGCACGGCCGGGAGATTGACGCCATCGGTGTCCATCACCCACTCCTTGGTGCGCATGAACGACCCTGACACACACCATACACACACAGGGGGATAAGCAAGCGCCCTGTTCCCTGTCTGTGTGTCTGTGTGTGTGGCGGACGTACCGTTCTCGAGGTATGTGACTTTGTTCTCCTCCCTCATGTAGACCTTCTTGATATCGACGATGCCCTTGATGCGCACCATTGGGAGCGCCTCAGCGATCTGCCGCAGCGTGACCTCCTCCTCGTTTTCGGCCTCCTCCCCCTCGGGCGACGGCTTCAGCCGAATGCGCATCACGAGCTCCTCGGCGTTGTCGTCCGTCTGGATGACGCTCACGAAGTTGTAACCGAACTCCTCCGTAACACGCTCACCGATCTGATGATTGACAGAGAGAGAAGGGGGTCGGGGTGTGGGTGGGTGTGGGGAAGGGGGCAAAGACTGAGTGCACGGACCGACCTGTTGCATTTCGAGTCGTTTGTCGTTGAAGACTTTGCTGTCGAGGACGACCCGCAGGACCCACGGGGAGACCACCTCTTCGCCCCTCTCGGCGTCAGCCCAGTCGAAATACTCCTCCACCCACTCCCTGTCCTGCAGCCATCCATCCATTCGACACACACACACACACACACTCCTTGTCTGTTGAGAGGGAGGGGCCGCCATGGGTGTCCATACCTCGGTGATGGAAGATTTGATGTCCGGGTCGTAGATGATGGTCCAGTACGAGATGAGCTTGTCCAGGTTGCACATCTCGAGGTTGGTCGACACCTCCCGCACCTTATCGCGGTCATGGACGTACTCGGGCTTGA